GTTCCCCTGCCAACTTTTCTCTTTCGCTTTTTAGGACTTGAGTCTTAAACAACTAAGTAAAAAAGAAATATATTTCTATATAGACATGAAATAAAGCTGTAGAGTAAACCCATTGTCTTCCTTTCCTTTGTAAAGTTTTCTGTTTTGAGACTGGCAATAGTTTGGACAGAAGAAGAAATTCTAATTCATGATTCTGTGGGAAAAAAAAAAGGAAATATAAAGATTCTTCTCCTAATTCAGTCTTCCACCACCTGCAGGGAGTCCTGTTCTTAAAAAGTACTTCACAAAAGAAGACCGTGTTTTCAAAACAAACTAGATTTTAAGAAACCTTACGTTCGAATGTAAATGAAAAAGCAGACATTTTCTAACCTTAAAGCATACTAAAAGGTTTACTTTTTCAAGAATCCCAATGTATGGCAAATTTGAATTCTATTTCATTAAACCAAGGTGTGTAACTATCTATTGTAATGAGTGAGCAAAACTGTCAGGTGCCTGTGTACTCCTGACATTCCACATCTGAGTTTTAAGGGCTATATAATATGAGGACCTCAATTGTAAAATTGCAAAAGCTTCCTCTTACATCTTTAAACTAACATACTTTGTAAAGGAGATCTTATCAGTATGGAAAATTCTAAGATTGTGTGTATTTCATAGATATGTATTTGTATTTTATCTCAAACCATTTTGTGGCTGTTGGAGAATGTATTTTTTATGGTATATTCAAACCAGAATTTTGTCATTCTGTTTTATATTTCTCTTCCAAAACACTATTTCTTCTATGTTGAATCTCTAATATATATTTATGTGCTCATACATAAATGTAGATATATATTTGAACACACAGACACACACACACACACACATACACACACATAGGCTTAAGATAACTATTTTACTTGTGCCTCTTAAAATTACAGGATTTTAAAATGGCAATATGTTCATTTAAGTTCACATCATATGTACAGTTCTTTTTTTGGTTTAGTGTTTAGAGAATTCTTGATAATTTAGACTCTTCCACAATGAAAAGTAAAGCATTCTGTCACAAAAGCAGGGAGGATGAGACACAAGGTCAAAGGGCATTTTAGAAACAAACAGCTGGACCAGTTTATTTAAACAGATAGAGGGATGGGGGAACTGACCTCAGTTTGACTTATAGTGGGAGGAGCAAGAATGTCATTTTATTACTTTGCCCAGAAGGAAAATGTTTTTGTATCTGAATTCACCCTGAAGCCATCTAAACATGGCTCTGCTGTGTGTAGCATAATTCCAAAGAGGATGTATAAAATAGTCTGGGATCATGATAAAATACACTAAAGGGAATCAAGTGTGGAGACAGTTTAAGATTGAAAAGGTGATGTTGTTTTAAAAAATAAAATATTTTGCTATTTACTTAGTTGTTTTCACATAGATGTCCATCATGACCCCAAATAATAAGTTGTTCATATAAGTGTAGTAATTGTAATTCAGTAACGTTCTGAGAGATTACTACATCCTGTGTGTACTAATGATATTTCATTATATTGAATTTTTTAAAGTAAATGTTTCACAAGAAGTTGCAGGTAGACCTACTAATGTGGTCAAACGGCTCAGAAAAGGTGATTAGGTTTTCTCAGGTTTTCAGTGTTTTTGTTTATGTTTTGTTTTTTAATTAAAGGTTTCCCCCTTTGATATCTACATATTCTAGGGGTAGCTTACATCTGTGTTCTTAATAACAACAAACAGTTCTTGCCACCAAAAAAGAAACAAATAACATCTAGTACCTGTGGGCAGTTGGCAAAGAGGCTGTGGTATTTTTTGTGTGTATTTGCTTTCTACCTGGGGATCAGAGCAGGCCTGGAATGAATGTCCTTGGTGGTGTTCACTGCAAGGCTTCAGGAGGACATAGACAAATATCAGCCTACAGAGCAGAGACAGCAGAGAGCAGAAAGCAGAGAGTGACCTAGGTGTCGAACGAACTCAAGATCCTAGTAGGACTCACATTCTAGAAGGCACTTTTTTTTTTTTTTTTTTCCCAGGCTGGAGTGCAGTGGCGCGATCTCGGCTCACTGCAAGCTCCGCTTCCCGGGTTCACGCCATTCTCCTGCCTCAGCCTCCTGAGTAGCTGGGACCACAGGCGCCCGCCACTACGCCCAGCTAATTTTTTTTATTTTTAGTAGAGACGGGGTTTCACCGTGTTAGCTGTGATGGTCTCGATCTCCTGACCTCGTGATCCGCCCGCCTCGGCCTCCCAAAGTGCTGAGATTACAGGCGTGAGCCACCGCGCCCGGCCATAGAAGGCACTTTTTAAGAATCACTGATGTTTAACCTAAGGATTAGAGGGGAGAAGCCTATAAAGCATAATGGCTATGTTTAACTATTTGAAGGGCTATCCTATGGAAGTAAACTTAGAATTGCTTGCAGTACCCCAAGGAGTTGTACTGATGAAACTCTTGGGTTGATGCAAAAGTAATTGTTGTTTTTGCCATTGAAAGTAATGGCAAGAATGCAATTACTTTTGCACCAACATAAATATTTTTGATCAAGTAAGACAGAACCTTCTAACAGCCTTGTTTATAGATGGGGTGGCCTCTCAATAAGGTGATGAATGCTGTATTAGTTCAGCAGGGGTTACCTATGTCCTTTTGGGCGACAGATATCATACAGGAGATTCATGTCAGTGACCAAAGGAAGTGACTGTTACAGCCCTTTCCAAACCTGAGGTGTAATTTTTAAAAACGAACTCAAGACTTTAATAGTCATAGAACCTGAGTTGATTATTATGAATTAGTTTATTGGAGTCTGAACATGTGAGTATGATGGAGACAAGCTTTGGAATACAGATAAGTCAAGTCACTGTATTCTCTCTCTCTCTCTCTTTTTGAATAGCCTTATCTTTGCCTATACACACAAACAGTGCAGCCATCAAAATTTTCAATTTACAAAATGTTCACAGTCATGCTTGTTCCTTGACTAAACACTGGGGTTGCTGCCAGTGGTAATTGGCTCAAATCCAGCTAATTTTTATATATCTATTTAGTCTGGATATTCTAGATGAGTGGCACAGTAGTTGCGGTGCTCTGGTCACTGCGCCAGAGCACCAGAGAGAAGGGTGCTCGCTGCCGCTGACAGCTGTGTGTCATTTAGCAAATTATTAACATCTCTTTGGTAACATGCGACCTCAAAGAAGTCATCTAATTTCTCTGAGCTCAGTCTTCTCATCTGTTAAAAATGTCTCTTCCTATTTTTAGGTAAGTAGTATAAGTCATATCCATAAAAGATTATGTTTTTAAAAAGTCTGGAAAAAGAAAGTTAATAGACAGAATTCCTTCTCTCTAAGAGTCTGCAGATTATGAACAGTACCATAGATAAAGAGATGTTTTTGCTCTCTTACCTACATTAGTTACTATGAAAATTACTTTTGGTATATGCAGAATATTAATATTAAATAATTTTCTAATTGGTCATGCAGTGAAGGCAGCTAATGAAAAAGCAGATTTTTTTTTCATTTTAATTGGTTATTTCACATGGTGTTTGTGCTACACCTGTGCTTATAATGAGAATGGAGAATTAATCTAACCTTCTGCTCACATGATTCCAATTTTCATGGTTTATACAAGATAATGATAACCTGATTTGCAACACAATTTGTTGTAGACCTGGGTTTTAAATATTTTTATTAGCAGTTCAGGAACTTCATATACAAGAACTGATATAATACGTGTTGCCAACAAGAATTAGCACGAACAGTATACCTTTTAGTTAGATTCTAGTTTCATTATTTGTTTCAAATACTTCTCAGATAATGAAAGAACACAAGGATACAGGATATTGAGAATCTTAAAATGTTATGAAGTATGCATTTTTGTTTTGAAAACCTATCCCTGTCTGTTTAATGGTTTGGTTTTTAGGACTATTTTCCTTTCTGAAGTGGGCAGACTTACAAACTAGAATTCATACTGGACTATGGATCCTTTAATTATTAATAGAACCTTATTAAAATTTTCATTGTATTTTTTATGTCCTGCTCAGATTTGATCTGAGTTGGGAACTAAAAGGAATTTACTATTTCAGAATCTAATATGTCCTCTTCCTTTTCTGGATTTGATATGTAATTTTTAATATTATGCAGTACAAACGGATCTGAAGAGTTAGAATCTCATGAGTATGACTTTGGAGAGCTTATATTAACTACTTTTTTACATTTCAGTGACTTGTCCCTTTTGGAGAGGCTACAAAAATAATCGTACAAAAATATCTTATTAAGACACTTAAAGTAACTCAAGTGCCTTAATAAGATGTTTATAAATTTTCAGTACTAACTGGAGAAAGCAAAATTATAAGTTCAATTACTGTATATCTGTGACCTTGCCTTGACCTCAGACTTTACATAAAGAGCAAAAAAAAAAAAAAGCCACCCCAAGAAATCTCTACAAGGAATGCATTTCTCTGAAGTCCCAAGCAGTGTGAGTTAGTGGTGATAAACTCCAGACATTCTCTCATTTGATGGTGTGCTGCCATCCCAGTTCATTATCTTAATAGTGGGCATTAAAATAGAATTAGGTTTGCAAGAGGTAGGGGCAGTTTTGATAAAAATTGTGAAAAAGAAGTCAGAGAACATAAGATTGAAATGTCACTAATTAGGAGAGGTAACAGATGCCCTTATGAGCATCTAACTCTTTACACCAATTTTCTCTCCTTGCAATTGAAAGGAGTGGTGGCTAGTATTGTTTCCTGAAAACTCTGCTAATTCCCCCATGAAAAGATGAAATGGAAGTGTCCAACTGTGGTAAAACAGGCAAACATAAATCAACTCAGAAACCCCAAGCCTGTGTACTCAAAGGTCACTGGGGGTTACAGGTTTTGCAGCACGTGAGGCTGCACATAGAGCAGTGGAGAGAACTGAAGGAGTCCCATTTTGCCAAGATCTAGTTTTACTCCAACTGCGATTCATCTTTTCCTCTTCCTCAACCCCCTGTTTTATTTTTAAGGAATAATGATTTGTTTCACTTTCTTGGTTACAG